ACAAAATGAAATGTTTTGGTCAAACAGTTGGGGCCATCAAAGTAAAAACAAAAAAAGGTAAATTTCAATAAAAAACAACACACTGAAAACGAAAAACATGTTTAGGTGAGCGACATATGTCAAGATTTTACCTTTTTTTCGTCAACCATGGTAGTTTCATCCTCAAATGACCGGTAACCAAAAAAAAACTTTCAGTTTTCCCTCAACTTACTTTGTTTTATTAATACTTGATTTTGGAATGATTACGACGACGACGACGACAACAATCACGTTTCATTTCGTGGAAGCCGAAAAAAAAAACCAAACAAAATTTCACCAACCACAAACCAAAATGAATAAATGACGCCGCGCCGAGGGTTTAGGGTTTTGTTTTGTTTTGTTTATGTTTTAACTTTAACTTTGTGATGAATGATGAAAATTGCACCTCTCCCTCTTTTCAGTCGCCTTTACCACCATATGGTAATCCATCATGCTTGTAGACAGGCAGCAGAGCACCACCTTGTAAACAATATCCCCGATTCATTGGTTGCAGACACTTTAAGAACTTGTTTTCTTTAGTTACCTGTTATTGTTTTCGCTCTTTCTGGCTTCTATAGCTGTTTTTTTTCTTCTGCAACGAAAAGGGAAAATTTTTGTGGTAATTAATTACATATCACAAAAGGGGCAAAGCTCTATTGTATTTAACATCGGTGTGTTGAAGGGAAGTATAAAGTTTTCTTTTAGGCGTGTGATAATGCTGGGTTTTAGTACAAATTACTAAAATGTACTTAAAATTGAATAAAATTCTGGAAATTCGCACTTTAAGCTTACAAAAAGTTCCAAAATGATACTAAACGTCTAAAATGGTACCATTTGGAATTCGAATAGAGCTAAAAATTTGAAATTTGGAATGAGGTTGAAAAGTAAGTTTGATATATAAAGGTACTAAGTGTGCGAACTATACTGATACTAAATTTGGAACATTTTGATTCAGGTTGAACGGATGAAGCTGAAAGTTTGTATTTAGATCCCTGTTGTGTGATAGGTTTGTGATAGAGATGTGGGTTTGGAAATGTGTACTAAAAGTACACGAAAAATACTAAATAGTACTATATTTAGTAAAATGTGATATTAGGTGAAAAGGCAGTGCTTGAAATCCGAAATTTGGTATTAGGTTCGCATGTGTAGTTTGAACATATGGAGGTGGTTTCGGAAATGTGTACTATAACTGTACGAAAAGTACCAAATAGTACTATACCTTGTATTGGGTGAAGGGATAGAAATGGAATCCTCAAATTTTATATTAAGGTCTCTCTGTTGGTAGATATGGAGGTGGCCTTGGAAATGCAAACTTTGTTTGTGCGAAAAGTACTAAATGGTTCTAAATTTGTTACTGGGTGAAGGGATATGGTTTGAATTCTCAAATTTGATATTGAGGTCTCTATGGTATCCAGAATTGAGATATGGAGGTGGTTTGGGAAATGTGTACTATATTGACCCATTCCCGGCGAAGCGCTTGTTTGAGATGATCAACACTTTGGTATTTTTTTAGTGCCAACCTTGCTTTCCAAAATATTTCAGACACAATAGTCCAACGGATTGGTATCCGGAGATTTTGGTGGCCATTGTGCGCTGGAAATGAAGCGAAGGACCTCATTTTGTAACCATTCTTGGGTGGCATGCTGAGTGTGATGATGCCGAGTCCTTTTGGAATGTCCAAGGTCTGCGGCCAAATTGTTTGCGTGCCCAAGGCTTTAATACACCCTCCAAAATATTTTCGCGATAATATTCGGCATTTATTCTGATGCCACGGTCGATTAATATGAGCGGAGAGCTACCATCGTCTGTTATGGCTATCCACAAAATCACCATGGCCGGCGCTTGAGTTCTGGTGGCCTACCGAAGGTGCACATTTCAACTGACCTCTTGACAAGTAAACACGATCATTTTGTTTGTTTACAAACTGCTGGACAACGAATGTTTTCTCATTGGAGACAACCAAATTCGGCAGTGCACCACTTTCGGCTAAGCGAAGCAACTCTTTAGCTCATTTGAGTCTATTTTCTTCCTGTTGCGATGTAAGTTCGTGTGCTTTTTGGAATTGCAACCATTTCTGCTGATGTTGCTGTTTTTTCGTCCACTTCCTTGACGTCGGGCTACGCTACCAATATCACGGTAACGAGCGATGGTACGAGACACAAAAGATTTATTTACATTTAAATGCTGGAGTGCTCTAATGATAGTCACATGTGGTTTCCCAGCCAAATATAAAGAAATCACACTACCACGTTTGAATTCCATCACGAATAACTTTTTTCTGGAAAATTCTCAGCAAAATGCTTTTGTGCGCTTGTAAACAAAGCTGTCAGTGGAATAATTTTAACAGCTGTCGGACGAATGGCTTAGGAATGACAGTAGTCTGAAGTTGGTTGCTGTATATGTTCTATGAGAAAACTCACAGATATGAGGGAACCAACTGATGTTCTATGAGAAAAAACCATTGATTTTTTAAGAGAAGACCCTTAGATCTTCAATGAATGATTTTTTTTTTGAAAAGATCCACAAATTTTCCAAAAAAAAAAAAAAGAGAAGAGATCTATTTAAAAAAAGGTTCATAGATCTCCTATAAGAAGCTCCTTTTTCTATCGTCTATGAAATGATTTATGAATTTGAAAGATGCACGTGCTTTTTATGAGAAGATACAATTACCCCCAATGAAAAATTATACGACTACTAAAGATGTTCTATAAAAACGAGGATCCTCTATAAAACTGGATCCATAGCCCTTGTGTGAAAATATCCATAAGTGCTTTATGAGAAGATTCATAGATATTCTAAAATCCTCTTTTATGAGATCCTCAAATAGTCTATAAAAATACTCACAGACAATTTCCATAGAATTGCCTTTTAAGCGAGTTTTTCTTTCATAAAATTGTCTTTGTCTGACACACAAGCCTAAGTTTATTCTATTGTTATCGAATTCATTTACATGAGTCACGCTTTTTGAGGCGTGACAATGGAGGCAATAATAAAGTTCATTTATTTCGATAAAAAAAATCTATTTTGCCTTTAGCCCTTTAAAAGAAGAACCTACAAGCTTAGGACAATATTAGCTTCGAACTTTACCCGCTGAGCACATAAAACAAGTTTTGGAATAAACTATGCTTAACGATGACGTACACAGTAATACATTTCGGCACCATTTCCATTAAAAAATTGTGTAACTTTTTAGAAATAAATATACACAACTGCCACTTAGAGACTATCGGACCCCTTTCCTAAAATATCGGGGGCCTGGTAAAATAGTAGGTCAATATGTTTTCAATGTATCTTCTTATTGTCTCAATGTGTGTGTGAGAATGTGTATTAAATATATAACTCGCCACTTATCGTTCACCCACAATTTATTTCAATTCTACCACATCATTATATAAACAATATTTATGATTCTTGGCGTTTTTATGTTGTGTTTTTTTTTACACTCAACATGTTCGCCATTTACCTTTTCTGGTAATTCATTTTTTTTTCCTCTTTTGATTTTTACATCTGCTCTGTGCAATGAACTAACGTCGTCGTTAGCTCTGTTCACCTCTTGTTTGGGTGCTTACCTTTTAAATGGGTCCGAAAGATTTGATCTTAGCCACTGATTTCCGTTAACAAAGCAAAAAAAACAGAGCTTCGAGCTGGACAAATATTGGCTGGGGAAGCAACCAAATGGCTGATAGCAAACTATCAAGCCAACAACCAACTATAACCAACCAAGCGTAATGAACAAAAACAGATGGAGGAGCAACAGCTTAAACTTTATATTCTGTTGGGGTTGACCGACCAACTGCTGACATTAGTTTAAATGACGACAGACAGACATACTGACGGACATTAAAGCCAAAGAAATCAGTACCTTTTGTTGCTGCTACTACTAACGTTGTTGTTACCGTGTTTTTATGGTTCTTTGTTTTGGTTTCTTTGGATGTTGTTGTTTTTTTGTTTTTTTTTTTTTGTTGAATGCATTTTTGTTGTTGTTGACGTCTACTTTGGGGTTTGGGCCCACAATAACAGCGTCATCATTGCGGGCCAAGAAACAGTTGTCGTTTGTGTCCGTCCGCCACATGGGCTTGTCTTTTAACCTTTTTCGTTTTGTGTTTTGTTTCAGTTTTCTTCTTTTTTTCTTTGACTCAACAGTTTGAGCTCCATGGCAGACTTCAGCAGGGTTCGAGTATGACTTCGAAGATCAGTTGCATTTGTGAAGCTTAAAAAGAACGACTCGCTACTTCTGGGGGCATCAAGTAAAAGACCAAAAAGTCAATTCTTCGGTTTTTTTTTTGTGAAAATTTTCCTTGGAATTGTTATTTTTTTTTTTTTTTTGTTCTCAGCCATGGTAAGCCAACCAACCAAACATACATACTCACGCCGCAAAAAAGTTGAATCTTAATGCCAAGGAATTATTGTTTATTTAAATGTTGTCTTTGTTTTTCCTGCTTCTAATTGGATTTTGTCAAATTTTTATTGATATCGATTATTTTGTGTTTTTGTTGGCGGTAATAATTTTTTCTTTTGTTTTGTTTTGTTGCTGACTTTTCCCTTTGGTTATGAATATGTCGTCTTAGCTACTGGACAGGGTTCACTATTGACCTTAAGCTTGAGCTTGATTTAGTAAGCAACACACCGTGGCATTGTTCAAAACAAAAGTAAAATAAAAAAAAAACTAAAATTAAAAAAAAAATTAAAACAAAGAAAAAAACAACACCATGTCTGAACCATCCTTGTCATCCTCTTCAGAAGATTCAAAAAGATCATCGATATCAAGTGATTTGCCTGAATTTCAATGCATCAAACTGAAACATGTACCCAAAGTGAAAAGAAGAGCTCCTCAGCCACCAACGCAAACATTGCCCTTGAGAAAAGTTTGTTATCCATATTTTGTTTTCTTTTGTTTCAAGTATTTTGTTAACATTGCGAAAAAAAACTGTTTGAAACATAACTAATTGTTGTTGTTTTTGTTTTTCATTCTATCTTTGCAGACTTCATCGACTACAAAAACTTCCAGTTTAACTGCCCCAGCTAAATTGTACGGCAAAGATTTGAGTGAATATGATGATGTCGATGTTGAAACATTATTGGCTCAATTGTCGCCCGAGGAAATTAACATTTTGGCCAAGGAAGTTGATCCTGATGTAAGTATGAAAAAAAAATAATAATAATAATAAGAAAATTAGTCCAGGGAATGCCTTTTGTGGAGAAAAGTTCCCTTAAATCAGCGGTTGTAGTGTCTTAACTGTCCTTTTGAAGATGTCCGAAAAATTAATATCGTTGACTTAAAGAATCCTAAAAGATTATTTCCAAAAAAAATATCTACGATTTTTGACTTAAAGGCTATTTAAATATTATTAAAAATCTTCGATTGGGAAACTAAAGGTCTTTCAAAAATTATTATTAACAAGTAAGCAAAGGCTATAGTCGTGCGGGGCCGACCATGTGATACCCTACAACACTACAATATGTTAGAAGCCCACTTATATCCAGATCGATTTTGGAAGATTTCGCTTTTGAAATTATGTCACGATACATTGACCAGAGAAATTCGCCCAATATTTAAGCACTCCGTCATACTGTTGGTTGTTGTAGTCCATTTTTCATCCAAAACGCTAGAATAATTCCCTGTCCTTAACTCTCTTCTCAGGCGTGTCGATAGGCTTCAATTGTGTGATCAGGAAGTTTTTTTTTCTATTTTTGTTTCATTTGAACCCCTAAATATTTTGCGATCATCTCCAAATTTAGACCCATCTATATTATTTGATTGTCTACGATATTTGGCTATAAAAAAAGCCAGAAGTTCGGCTTTTGTGTATTCCGCATATCGCCTGTAAGTAGTTCTGGTATTATTTCACACAAAAGTAGTGGTCCATTCTACTTGCTGTCCTAAACTCTAACTTCATGCGAGATTTCGTGTCTGCAAAATCAGGATCATTTTTAGTTGTTGGTCCATTTCAACCCCCAAATATATTGCGGACATCTTTAAAACCAATATGCCTAGCCCTTTTGAGCCTAACCCTGCACTTATGAAAATTTTCGTGAGGATTGGACGATAATTGCAATCTGTATATAATAACCCCAACCTGTGTTGTAAGGTGAAAAAGTATTACAAAATATACACTTCAATATTATAAGTCAAATTGAAAAAATCGCATGCGATAAAAAATATGAAAAAATATTTTTTTAGATTTTATACTTTTATGCCAAGAGGGCATTCTGAATTGTCAAAATTTGTCAAAATCGGTCCAGCCATTCTTGAGATATAAGCATTATAGCTAACATCCCCTTCCTTTGTATATACACATTGTATATACACCTAATCTGTTTTTACACGGTCTTTTTGTACACGTTTTTGATATAACACGGTTTGAAAATTGAATATTTTTAATTGTTTTACACGATATTATTCTATTTAGCACGATTTGAAATTTTATGTACTTAAATTTTCTTTGTCAAATTTAATTTTTGCGAAGTATATATTTTTGTATAAGATCAATGTATTTTTTACACGGTTTTTTTTTACAAGACTTCTTCTGGAACCAATCTACCATGTAAAAACAGACTTAGGTGTATTTCGCTATATATATCTGATATATTAACTATTGGCATCGACGTAACGGTCAGAATTGACCTGTTCATCTGTTTGTGATTTCGTCGGGATTAAATATTTTCGCGGTTTAATGGAAAATATGACTTTTATTTAACACAAATGTTAAATTCAATTAATGTTAATTTCACCCACTAAATATTACCCGATGACCACCAAAATTGGAAGGCTTCTGCCCAGCCCTAAGCTCTAGTTCCATGCTAACTTCCGCTTTGATTGGTCCATAATTGCGACCTGTAAAGCAACTGCAAAATCAGGAAATTTTTCAGTTTTTGGTCCATTTCAACCCCTTAATATTATGCGATCATCTCCAAAAGAAATATGGTTCTATTCTGACCCTAGCCCCACCTCCAATGTAAATTTCGTGAAGATCAGGCCATAATTGTGACCTGTAGAGTGATTACAAATTAACATGGACAGACGGACGGACGGACATACATAGCTAGGTCGACTCAGCTCGGCGAGATAGGAAGATCCATATATACTTTCCTATGTGGGAAATCAATATTTCGAGGTGTTACATAATTTTTGGCCCAATCAAACTTATAATACCCCCAACACATAGTGTTGTAGGGTATAATAAATCAAGGCCTTTAGACTTAAAATTTTTGTCAAAAAATCGGAGAACGTGGACTGTAAGGCCTTGAAATTTTTATTCAAAAAATGCAAGATTGTGAACATAAAGGTTCTTAGATATTATCTTTTAAAAAAATCACTATTGTAGGCTTCAAATTATTCCCAAAAAATCCACAATTATACAGGGTGGGATGAAAAAACTGCAACCAAGTTCAGACTGCTGTCATTTCTAAATCACTCGCTGTTAAAATTATTCCAGTGGCAGCTCATTATATTGTTGCGTAGCCCGACGTTAAGGGGGTGGGCGGATGAAAACAGCAACATCATCAGAAATGGTTCGAAAAGTAAAGAAACGACTTGATCGAAACCAGCGTCGCAGTGGCCGAAAAATGGCTCGTGAGCTGAACATACGCAATATTCCGTTCGGCAAATATTGAAAAATGAGCTCGGGATAGAACCATTGAAATTCCAAAAAGTGTTGCTTCGCTTGACCGAAAGTGGCGAACTGCCGAATTTGGTTTTCTCCGATGAAAAAACATTCGTTGTCCAGTAGTTTGTAGACAAACGAAATGACCGTGTTTACTTGCCAAAGAGGTCAACTGAAAATGTGCACCTTCTTTCTCGCTTCATTTTCAGCGCACAATTATCACCAAAATATCCGGATACCAATCCGTTAGACTATTGTACCTGGAGTATTTTGGAAAACAAGGTTTGTACTAAAAAATACCAAAGTGTCCATCACATCAAGCAAGCGCTTCGCCAGGAATAGGCCAAAATACCGCAGAGCAACATTCGGTCAGCGTGTGCCGGTTTCATTTACCATGGCTCTTATTGTGGCTCTGTTAGTCCTTCATTAATTACTCTTAAATATGAACATTTCGCCCCTGAAAAGATTTTAAAAATTGGTATGGCTCCAATAGTCTAAATATGCCTCGGTTAGTCCCTTAAAAATATTCTTACACGGCAATGACTCTGATCGTCCTTCAATAATTATTATTTTTAAAAAAAACATGTGTATGGTTTTGCTAGTCCTTCAAAAACTATTTCTAAAATCCTCGATGATGATTCTTAAAAAATTCAAAATCATGCCTCCTATAGTATTAAAAAATATTTATAAAAAACTTCACAATTATGGTTCTGATTAACCTTCATAAATATTTTTTTTTTTTTTTTAAACAATATCTGAAATCTCGTTGGTTTTTCAAATAGTTCCGAAAAATATCCTTGAAAATCCCCTATTTAGATCCAACAGTCCGATAATGGATATGATAGTAATTAAAAAAAAATATTCATAAAATTCAACAAGTTTGAGTCACATATTTCTCTAAAAATAAAAAATCCTCCATTATGACTCTAATAGTCTTTCAAAAATATTCATTAATAATTCACAATTATGACCCTGACAGTCATCAGTAAATATTGTCCCTAACTGTCCTTTAAAAAAATATTCCCAAAAACTCCACGATTATGGCATAATAATCCTTCACAAATATTTGTAAAAATAAACGAGTGACTTTGCCACAAAAATATAATTTTCCAGGCACTATTTAAAATACAAACACTTTTTTTAATTCCAGGACAACTTCTTGCCCCCCGATCAACGTTGCAGCTATGAGTGCACCAAGGACCCCACCGGTCCCTTGAATCGCAAAAAGCTCATTGAACACATCAACAAGCAAGCCATTGAAACTCCCGATCAACCAGAGTTTGAACCCTATGTCAAGGGTACCGTGCGTGGTAAGAAATGGGTACCACCACCACGTGATCAACGTGATGTTGAGGCCGAGGAAAAGATTGCCATTGATTTGGGAGATGAATATGAGAGCGCTTTGAAGGATGCTACACAAGAAGAAATTATTGATTTGGCAGCTATATTGGGTTTCCATTCAATGATGAATCAAGATCAATATCATGCTTCGCTGTTGAACAAAGGTCAACCCGTTGGCATGGGTTGGGATGGCATCACCAAGTCGACACAACAAAAAGTCTATCCCATGGATCCACCAAACGATACAGACGTTGAGGAGTCCATAAGACGTGTCAAGGATGATGATGAGAAATTGATTGATTTGAATTTGAATAACATCAAGGTATGTGTGACGAAATTGATTTGAACGATAATATCAAATGTTCTAATGTTCGCTTCTTTGTTTGTTTGATTTTTTTTCTGCAGAATATTTCCGAGGAAAAATTGGAACAATTGATTAATGCACTGCCCGGTAATGAACACTTGGAAGTACTGTCCCTAACAAATGTCGGTTTAACCGACAAGTTAGCTCTATTGCTGGCCGAGGCCATTGAGAAAAGCAAAACCTTGAGAGTATTAAATGTCGAAACAAATTTCATCAGTCCGCCTGTCATAGTTAAATTAGTGCAAGCCCTACTTAAGTGTCGCACCATTGAGGAATTCAGAGCCTCGAATCAGGTAAGTCGCAATGATTTAGAATATATGTTACACAAGGTCTAAGAAGATATTAAACTTTAATCAATAGAATCAACCTTTTTGGGGGTGGTAATAGAATCACCAGAGTATTATCTCTATTGAACATCGATTTTGTTCGCTTTAAAAACCTCTATAAGTACTAATTATTAATTATCGAATCGATTTGTTTATATTGATTTCTTTAAAACATTAGACTTTGTAGGTCCCACCAAATTTTTAAAAATCGCAAAAAATAGTTTTTGAAAGATCAGTATAAACAAATGAAAGATCAGTATAAACAAATCGATAAGTAATAATTAGTACTTACCAAAACCAAACCATACTCCTCTTTATCTAACATACTTCGAACCCGACCCAATTTTTCCCCAACTTCTACAACATCCTTTTGAAAAAGAAATACTCAAACAAACTTTTCCATGTCATAAACCTTAACCTTATCATGAACACTACACGAAAAATTCTTTCCTTGGACTATACGAAAGTTAACTCGAAAGAGATACGCCGGTTTCAAGATTAATCTTTTCTTTTTTAAAAAGGAGAAATTTTGAAAAAAGGACAAGGAATCGGTGCTGTTCTTTCGAGTTCAATTTCGAATCGTCGTACAAAAACAGAATGTAATAATATTAATCACGCTCGAAGCCTATATACAGTTTGACCAAGAGGAGATGACAATTAAATCGCCCGCACAATCATACAAAATTTTATTCGACAAATTGTCGAAGAATTGATCGTTGCCTGTTTTTCTCATTTCATTATTTGACCTTGTGTAACTTTGTTCATTTAATTGAAATTTTCAATAATTAATATTTTATTTCCACATTTTTTCAGAGATCACAAGTTTTGGGTAATAAGATTGAAATGGAAATTACCGATTTAGTGGAGAAGAACACCTCACTGCTTAGATTGGGTCTACATCTTGAATTCAATGATGCCCGTCATAGAGTTGCTGCACATTTGCAACGTAACATTGACAGAAGTAAGTATCGAAAAGTAGTTATAGCAGAGGAAAATTGTCTCTATGACAGCATCCTATTAGCTCAGAGAGTTTTAAAGCAAGTTAATGCAGCTGTACGGTTTAAAAAGGCATCGTTGGTTTTTTCCACTTTCTACAACTGCGTATTTTTTTCTCTTATTCTCTTGTATCGACCCCCTCCACAATGTTCTTTCCTTAAGGTTTAGTTAGTTTTAAGAAAATCAAAACCCTTTGGTAGTTTGGCAAATATTCTGATAATTTGGTTTATTTTTTATAAACAACAAAAAAAAAACACATCAAAACGTCGCACAAACAAACAGGTGAAGGTGAAAACGATGATAATAGTTTAGTTTCATCACGCATATCACCATTTAAAGCAGCAGCATCACCACCACCGCCATTACCAATGCCACCATCATTGTTATTGTTGTCATCATCAGCTACTACATCACCAGATAAAAGCATTGTATTGGAAAATAATAAATCATCGCCATCATCAGGCACAATCTTACCATCGACATGTATTTCATTACTCGATAAAAGCAGTCACAATGTAAATTATGGCAAAACGTCTCCAACGTCAGCGGTAGTTAATACCGCTGCTGCTGCTGCTCATGCTGCACCATTGTCGTTTATAAATAAAAATGTTACAACTGTTGATTCATCTATCAATGATGATAATAATACATCATTGTCACAATCATCAGCAACATTATCATCGTCGTCGGTGTCGTCATCAGCAATGTCATCATCACGTGCATATGTTAAGCAGGAATATTTGGAGAATAATGCTAATGTTGCAACAACAACAACAATAACCAATGTGACTAATATGAATAATAAGAGCAACTGTAGCAACAGCACCATTCTCAATGATTTATCATTGGAATATCATAGCAACAACAACAATAACAATTCGAACAATATGAATATTATTAATCATATGCACAAGTCTTCAAATGCTGCTGATGACAATGGCAACAACCGCAGCAACAACAACAATAACAACAGTAACACGGATGAGATATTACTATTGTGCTCTAATCCTCGAAGTGTTACTGAAGCCTTAGCCATGACCAAGAATAACGAGGATTTAGATGAAAAGGAAATTTAAAATGTTCGCACGAATATATGAATAAACTTTGTTCATTATGTTTCCTTAATTTCATTTTATTAGAATTTTTGTAGTTCTTGTTGACACGATATTTTGTTAGAGTTCAAGTCCTCAATTTCAATTTTTTTCATATTTTAGTTAATCCGTTTTACCCCTACAATTCATGTAATGCCTTAGAAACCAACAATCCCTACCTATAGTATTTCGAATGAGAAGTCATACCCATCCTGGAAGCTGTACGAAATTCATGGAAGCAATCAAAGGAATATCAGTGACGTTTTTGTTAGGCAGCACAGGATTCAGATCTAGGATTGCGATCAAAACGACTCAAGCTCGTCATTCGGGAATCCATTTCGGGTACAACAGCAGTTGTCCATGGCTTACTTATAACCTCTACAGTTGGTAATTGCTTTAAAATAGACAGACCGCCCATCAATAGAATACCTGCAAAGGACTGACACCAGATGATAAAATATGTCCTTTATAGAAGACAGAAACAAGGTATTTTATTTGTAGAAGAGACCAGTAGGACAGTCCTCTATTACAATGTAAAAGAATCATGCTTCCTTCACGGGTTTTCAGTATTTTTAAATTTTTTTGACGAAGAAAGTAAAGTTCCCTCCATGAACTAGTGACAGTAAGAATTCATAAAAATGCTCAATAATATGAGAAAAAATAATAAATATCAAAATTTCCTTTTTTTGTAGAAATCAACAGTATATCGAAAAGGTCAATGGAAATTCAATATTGCATCTATTATGCAACTCATTAGGTTTTACGTAGAAACAGACATTGACCTTTTTTCGGTTTTAATACTTCTCAATCAGATAAGAATGACTCTGTTTAAGGAAAACTCAATTTTCCTTTCATGTCCATAGTTTAGAAATTAGTTTTATTTTTTCCCCAATTTTAACTTATACTTTAAAGTAGCATTTTAAATTTCCTTGGAATCTATAGAGCCTCATTCTGAAGTATCAATAATAAAGATCGCGCTCTAAAATATGCTGGTTATGATATCTAATTATCGATTCAGGTAATATGATGTGTACCTTACCTTGTAAATCTCCACCTTATTTGGAAAATTTAACACTACGTTTACTTTCCACCAGAAAAGAATCATCCAACAACCAATATCTCGTCAACGTATTTTGTCTGCGTCTGATAACCCACCAACCAACCAGTAATGATGCGTGAAAATGGTTTTCTTCATGTCTTTTTAAACAAAAAGTTCACCCAATATTTGTTTTGGTTGTTGTTATTTATAATGTGTTTATTGTTTTGTTATTTGTTGAAAATTTAAAATAAAACAAAAATAGATAAAAAATAGTATACGTTTTGAAAGCCAATAGGGGACTTTTCTCTAAAAAAAATGGAACAGAATTAATTGAAAATATATAAACCTGTGTTATTGTTGTTGTTTTATAACTACTCCTTGGTTCTCCAATCCTCTTCAACTCATTTGTGTGCAATTATCCTAAGTTCGCCGCCCATTACCGTATCGTTTCGTTTTTATCATATACGCATTAATTTCTTGTAGATTTGTAGTTTCGAATCATTTGTTGACTTAGTCGTCTTAAAATGAAATCAATATCCCCACTCCTTTCCCAATTTCTTTAATTGTGGTTTATATTTCCCTTAATTTCTCTTTGTCCCCTCTCTCTATATATCCTTTGTGTAATATTTGTTTAATATTCTCCTGTAATATTTCTTTGTAATTTGTTGTTGTTTATTTTTTTTCTCTAATTATATTCATAACTATTAATTATTTTAATTCTGTTATTATTTTCTAAATAAATCCAATTCGAAATCTACATAAATTCTTCAATATACACGTGTAAATTAACCAAAAAATACGCATCGAAATTGAAAATTCTCCCTTCAAAAAATTATATATATGTCAATCAATTATCATCGCAAATGTATCAGTTGTACGTGTACAAAAACTTAAACCCAATTTGCCCAAGCTCTTATTGCCACCGGCCAATCAGGGCATGGATTACATTGCTCCACCTTCAATGGAGCTATCGCCCTCACCCTCGCCAATACCTCGCGTCGAATATGAGGTCGAGGTGGATCCTGATAATATGGTGGTTCGTGGAAGTCCCATAACACCATCACCTTCACCCTCGCCATCACCTCAACCTCGTGCCGACTATGAGGTAGAGGTTGATCCCGACAATATGGTTATACGTGGTGGCGGCGGTAATAGTGTTTTTGATTTTGATTTTGTGGCCTCCTCGAATGAAGGATCACGGAGAGTGTCCTCGGCTTCGTCGTCCATGTCATCGATGTCTGCCATAGCTGCTGCTGCTGCCGCTGATATGCCAGCTTATAATGAAGATCTTACCAGCTATAAATCCCATACGTGAGTTAGTCTGTAAAAAAGGACACAGTCATAAAATGAAAACCAAAAACTTCCCACACAATCCAGCAAGAACAGTTTCAACTTTAAGCTGTGTACAAAAAATGCGTTACACACATAGTCACAACCACCAAACAGCCACACCAAATAAAACTCCCCCAACAAAAACATACAATACAGCCAGCCTGAAAGCTAAAGTCATCAGAGTTTCTTATACGTGTTTGGAATAGCAGATCCAAACTTACATTTCAATACTGTAAAAATGCTTCAAATCAAAACACATTTCAGAAAAATGCTTCAATGTTGATTGATTGTGTTTATTGATATTTCTCTGTGTATCCTATGTTTATCTTACACTCCAAATATGTTTATAATTGCCGACCAATTTATATTTGTACATAATTATTCCTCTCATTTGTTGTATATTTTCAAGTATGATTCTGTTTTTTTTTTCCTCATCTCTTTTGTCATGTATGCTTTCATCTTCTTTGTCGTTCATCTCTCTCTGTATTCATCGTCATTATTCATCAAGTTTTCTATATATTTTTGTTATTATTTATTTGAATGTGAATAACCCCTTTAAGTTGTATTTTTTTCTTGCTCGTCGTTTCCAAGATCAGAGATCCTCAATTTCCTTCGTTTTATCCCTTGTCTGTCACATGATTTTCACTATAATACCAAATAGCCATCTTAGAAATGGCATAATTAAAGGCTTTATTATAAATCACAGTCGTCAATCCAAAAAGCGGTCACATTCTGCTGTCATTTTAATATCTCTCATATCCTTCTGGTTGATTTTCATTTGGACGCCATAATTGAATCATTAGATTAAAGTACATTGTTGAGTGTCTTGGCTAGATTTGCATTCCTTTTACGGCCTAATGAAAACTTGTTTTTTTTTAATAATAACATTCTGCCATGACACACAAATGTCTACTTTTTTCTCCCCAATTCAATTTTCATAACTTATTATCATATCATCTGTCTGATCATCTCAAATATATACCTGATTTTTGTCCAGGCCTATGATTTTGTTTTCTATACTACCTACCAATTTCTGTTCTTTCTCTGATAGCACCTCTGGTTGGCTTAGAAACTAGAGACCAAATCTGATCACTTCCTCGATGTTTTTGTACCCAACTGTGATTCTAAATGTTGTTGACTCTTATTTTTTGTTTTGTTGCGTATACGTATCCTCCTAGTCCTCCTTTCATTTGAACAAACAAATTACGTTTTACCATCCTAGTTTCTACGTTTATTATTTATTTATTTATTTATTTTATGTATTAAACATTCAATGTGTTGTTTTAATTTATGTTTATTTTATTATTTCTTTTATTTTTTATTTCTTTCTTTCTCTCGATTACAGTAAGAAAAGATCTTGATTTACGTCTGCAGTTCAGATTTTTCAATAATCTTCACAGAAATCCAACAAGAGTTCAGTAAAGAAAAAAATATTTAACACAAAAAAAAATGAAAACTTAAAAAAATATAAATCATATAAAGTAAATAATAAAAATGAAAAAATCACAAACTATATTACCAAGAAAACAAAAAAAAAGAAATACTCCTAAAATAAAAGATTAGAAAATCTCATTTCTAAAACAGTAATTTGTATAATGACAGAACTTTATGGTTACCATAAAGTTATTAAGGACCCTAAGGCATTGTGGTCCTTGCAGAAATGAGAAAAATTAATAAAAATAAGAGAAGATCACAGGGTCTATTATCAAGGAAACAAACAGAAAACGTAACCAAAAACATATATCAACGCTTTATTTTCTAACTTTAATTTTATATATAAAATAAAACAATAATAACTCAAAAATAAAATACACTAATAACACACAATGAAATGAAGAAACACTTTCTTCTTTACATTATAAGAAATAAAAAAACACGACACAAGAAGGAAATAAAAAAAATATACCTACGTATCTCATCATTATTTACTACTCGTATAATAATTAAACCAAATATATGTACCCATGGAGTAAATGATATATACAAAAAAAGTCACATAAGAAAACATTAGAAGACTTAAGCAACAAAATAATGATTTACTATAAAAATATTATAAAAGAAAAGCTGCAACGAATAAATAACTACAACGACTTCGACATTAACTTCTAATCCCAACAAACATCATCATGGTAGTAGTTTCCCCCCAAAAAAAACAAAGTTGAATTCTTTGAAAACATATTTGAAGAAGTCATACTTTAGACTCCTTCCGCGGGGATCTTTCTACACAATGGATATTAATCATCACGTTTTTGGTTTATAAAAGTATCCTAAAAAACTCACTCAAAAGGTAGCTATACAAAAGCCAACAAAATGAAGTATGGTTTGCCTATTTTGCATTTTGTTGATGTTACGCTCTCTCTTCCGTTTTATTTCACTCCCTTCAAATAAACTAAACTCAATATGGCAGCCCGGCAGCCATAAATCTAAATTGTTTAATAATGCTTCCAAACAATGTCATATTTCTATGCCTATGAAGGAACCCAAAAAAAAGTAGTGATTTTGTAATATTTCCAAATAAATGAAAAAACTGCATTTTAAGCAATTTTTTAATTTTTTATTTATTTTTTTATTTTTTTACTTTGTTTTCAAAATTTGCATGTTTTTTATGTTACCGCCATAAGTTGATGTTATTTTGTAAAATCCAAATTTAAAATGTTTTTAAGTTGTTATTTTTTGATCTATTGTTAATGCATTATTTGTTTGCTTTTTATAATTGTTGTCCTGTGCCCGCTCGCTAAGCCCTGTCCTTCAAATACGCTTTCCTTTTACACACAAACAAACAAACACACACACACATTTTATCAATATTTTAAATAGTCATGGTAGATTTATACCCCAAAAAAACAACACGTTTTAAAAAGACACAAAACTAACGAATTTCCAATCATTTCTTGTAACCTTCATAACTATTTTAAAAACATCTAAATAATCAAAATGTCTCAAAAAAATGAAAAGATTCGCTATCTAGATAAAACAGTGACTTGCTTTCTTGTGGTAAGGGAATTTTTAAAACAAAGATCCAAATTTTCTCAATTTCAAGTTCAAAACTGAAATAATCTTTTCAAGAAAGGGTGAGGTAAAAAACTGCAACAAAATCAAGCGCCATAATTTTTACATTTTTTTTTTAAATTTTATTGAATGAAAGCAAAAAATGTCGGAAATATCATCAAATTTTAGAATAAGTTTAGATTAGTTCGAATTGGTCACTTTGGTACGAATTATGGCCTTCAAACGGCCAATGAAACCGTCACACGCTGACCTGAACTGTCACCTTGTGTGGCTCATAACAAATTGGAAATTATTAGTAACATAAACCATGATTATTTAAAATAAATTGATACAATATTAATTTCAAACACCACACATACAAAGGACACATTACCCGAACAATCATTCTCCTAAATTTTTCAAACTCCATTAATATTTACTGTATTATTTTCTATTCCATTCTTTTTTCATTATAGAAACTAAACTGCGATTTACATTTCTAAGTAAATTTTATTAAAAGAAACACACAAAAAAATGGAAACATAATTACACCTACCTAGTAGTTTAGTCGCCTAGTTGTCCTGATATACAAAAACCAACTTAACATAGTTTCCTTAATACAAAATATCTCGGACCATCAAAACCAAATCTACGCCATATCATCGATATAAATAATATCTATGTGGATTATAAAATGAAATCAAATTAAATTTTAAAAACAACAATCAATCCCCAGTCTAATGTGAACAAGTTTGTAAATTTTGAAATTTCCCATTATTTTGTAATAGATGTAAACAAAATATTTTGTGTATGTTGTGTTAAAAGTACAAAATATGTGCAATTAAATGAAAGAGAGATCTACTAATGCTTAAGCCAGCATACTGTTGTAAAACAAGCTATTATTCGGAAAATATAAAAAAAAAAAACTCCAAGGAAATGTGTTCTAAGAACTTTATATTTTTAAGCCGATCTGGGTTATATTTTCCCAGCGTTATGAAAATTAACCTTGTTGGCCATGACATAAAAAATTGCCATGTGTGCGTCACAATTTCTAATTTTGAAATCAATAAAATAAAATGGAATGCCAATTTTGTGTATGCTCTATCTTTAACTGAACTTTTGAAACACAACGCTTCTCTGCTCCTTTTAAGCCGCCCAAGAAAACTGAAATCCAAAAAAAAAAAAAAAAAATCCTGTAATTTTGGTTAAAATTTTGAACTAATTCCTGAATGTTGTTATTTTCCCTTGTTCTACAGCTAATTAACCCCCTTTTGCAAAGACAAAACAAAAAAAACTGAAATATCGATTAAATCAATATTTCAAAAAATTGTTGTTTCGCATATTGTTTGTTATTGTTTTTCTTGTACTAAAACAAAAAAATAAAAACTAAACCAAAATTTATATGTATTTTATTGTACCAATCCGACTAATCCATGTTTGTTTTTGTTCTTTCCTGTGTTTCTTCCATGTCTATTTCCAGTACGTGTGCAACGCCTGAATCAACGTAAATAAACAACAAAATACGTTCTAGAAAATTATACAACAACAACATGATCAGAAAGCATCCAAAACAACTACATACGCTCCACCAAAATTACCAAAAAAAAGAATCCAAATATTTGTTGTTTTGTTGAACCACCACCTATTTCAAAACCAATGTAATCGTAAAAGTGTTCATTCTTATTAATTACCCTGCAGCCTGTGTGTGTGAAATCAATCCAATTACAACAACAACAACTTAATTTTGTGAAAACTTTAAAGCAACAACTACAACTACCACCATACACAACGCATACGGAATTGTGTGGGATAACAAAAAAAATCATCACCAACCTCCAATATCCTAAGTCCCACCAAATGGAACACAAGACTAATTGAAAATCCCAAGAAAAGTCCCCTCAAAACGATTTTTGTAAAATCTGTACGTATATTTCTTGTATGTTTTATGTGTTTAGATATAAGTATTTAGAAATATGTTGGTATATTATTTAATTTTTGCATAGAAATGTTTTTATTTAGATGACCTTTAATGTGATTTTTTCTAAAGTAACGCCAGGGAAGGTCTGTATAAATATTTGTCTTTGTTCATACAATCATACGCAATTGTCTCATATACATAAATGTAAGATAGGAGGGTATCAAAAAATATAACTCCATACCATACATTTATGGTCACACAAATTTGCAGACGTCCTGTTTAGGTTTCATTAATTCTAAGAAATATGTGTATATTTTTTTGAATATGTAGCATATACCCTCTATGTATAGAGGCGCCTTTGAGAATGTCTCCAATCCACAATATTCCCAATAAATGACAAATTGTTCGTTAGAATATATGTGGAAAGGATAGAATATATATTGGAATATACTGAAAACATACATATGTTTTCTTATCTATAAAATAGTTTTTAAATTCTTCATGCAAATTAAGCGTTTATGAAACACTTAAATCAGAAAGACTGTCGACTTGAACATGATACAATAGTTTAAATTTATATTTGTAATTGAATAAAAGGCTACAGTCTGGCGAGGTTGACCATGTGATACCTATAACACAATAATTTATATGTTAATTTCCAATTTAAAATCAATGTTATTTGTTCCTCCTTTCGAATTATCCTAATTGATCTGGCATCAGAATTTTCAAAAACTTACGATCTCTTAAAAGTATGCAGAGTATATTAGGTTTGTCATTCCTCGAAATAAACATTTTAGACCCCACAAACGATATATACTCGATCAGCATAAGATTCTATGTTGATTAGACATGTCCGTCTGGCTAGAATTGTTAGTGGGCCATATACAGGGTGAGATAAAAAACTGCAACAAAGTCAAACGTCATATATTTTACATTTCTTTATTTAAATAGCATCAAATTTTACAATAAGTTTAGATTTGTTCGAATTGGTCACATTTGGCACGAATTCTGGCCAATGAAATGGTCACACACTGCCCGAATGTTGCTCTGCTGTATTTTGGCCCATTCCCGGCGAAGGGCTTGCTTGAGGTGATCGACACTTTGGTATTTTTTAGTGCCAACCGTGCTTTCCAAAATACTCCAGACACAATAGTCCAACGGATTGGTATCCGGAGATTTTGGTGACCATTGTGCGCTGGAAATGAAGCGAGGAACCTTATTTTGTAAGCATTCTTGGGTGGCGCGTGCTGAGTACGATGGTGCTGAGTCTTGTTGGAATGTCCAAGGTCTGCGGCCAAAATGTTTGTGTACCCAAGGCTTTAATACACCCTCCACAATATTTTCGCGATAATATTCGGCATTTATTCTGATGCCACGGTCGATTAATATAAGCGGAGAGCGACCATCGGCTGTTATAGCGGCCCATACCATCAACAAGGCCGATATAGCCCATATAGCGTTGCATTTGAACAATATTTATGCGGAAAATGTTTCACATAAAAGTTATACTCCATTTCAACCGTTAAATACACTCCGATGTCGATTTAAATTTGCTAGGCTTTCGCCCTGGTCTTGTGCAAAATTTAAAATATGTATGTATCATTCCTAAAATATTTTGTGAACATCTTCAAGACTATAGGGTTCTATTCTGGTCCTAACGCTAACTACATGCAAATTTTCATGAATAATGTAACTGCGACCTGTAGAGTGATTACAAATTAACATGGACAATGGGTCATTCCAAAGCCAGATTGACATAACCCGACGAAACTTCAATTTCTATTGCACATGTATTTTCCCTTCCGCAGTTGCAAAGGTCGACAAATCAATTTCGAACTGACGCTTTAATCTATATATATAAATGAAAGTTGTGTTAGTTACTACGCTTATAACTTAAGAACCGCTGAACTGTTTTTAATGATTCATACAAATTCGGAATTGGCTCTTATCCGAAAAGGATAATATCCAAAAAAATCGCGTAAAAATGTGATATGTTAACATTTTCATTTTGACTTTTGAAATGTACAATAGTAATGTTTTATTTTGCATGATTTTTTCCATTTTGACTTACTTTTTTGTACTTACTTTAATGTACATTTGTAGTGTTTTTTATATTTTATTTTTGAATTCGAATATTAATACCAATTTATTTAATTGACTTGATTTCTTGAGAACTGAAATTGATAGCGGGTTACATGGAAGTGTAGTACCGAATTATGTGGTGGCGAAACGGAATAGATGATACCGAAATAATTTAATGCGGTCACACCAAAGTTAAAAGATAGGGTAAGTGTACCAGTAGTCGGTACTTTTAGGATTTTCGCGTTTTTAATCGCTCACCATTCTGAGTGGAACTTTTCAATTATTACAAAGTTAATTTATTCAGATTCGAAATTTTGTATAGTTTTTGCAATAATAAATAAAGTTTTAATAAATTTTTATTAAATTTCATAAATTTGTAGTTTTATTAAAACAATGCTTTTTTTTGCCAGTAGTCGGCACCACTTGCCAATTGGCGGTATGGCATGTTCCAACAGTCGGCAAACCAAATTTTTTGTAAAAATAATTAATAATAATAATAAATTAATTCATTAAAATATAATATTTTTGTTTAGTTTAACTGATTCGACGTCTTTATCGTACTTTTCTTAAGAATATGGATTGTTGATGACCTTCACAGACAAAAATTTAATTTTTATTTGAATAAATCATCTTTTCTTAGCAAAATTGTACACAAAGATAGCTGGCAATATATTTGAAGTAAACAAAATACATTTAGTTATAATAGTTTCATTTATTTGGGCTTAAAAATAAAAAGTGCCGACTACTGGGACATGCCGAACTTAGGCACACTTACCCTAATTACTTTTTCAAAATCGTTAAAAAAATCACGAAAAAGGAGATCTCATTGCAACAATTCTCAAAACGGAAAAATATCGAAAAAAAATTCCAATGGAATTGAATTTTAAAATAAAAGTACATTCTATTGACAAACTTTGTAAGGATCTTTAAACAGTTGCTGTAAAAAATCAGCGAACAAGTTGAAGATTTTTTCAGTTTGTTATTCTTCTTTTGTCAATTTTTTTCAATTTGTAATATCATATTGAATTCAGTGGATTTTTTGTGAACAAAATAAAGAATAATTTTTTCAAGTGCGAAATACAAATAAGTGCGAAATACGATGGTAACTGACATCTACCTTTCAACTACAGGGCCTACATCGTGCTTCAGCTGGAAGATGCGCAGACATTTAAACAAACAAAAATGACCGAAAAAGACTAATGGGGCTTATTTCAAAGCGTGGCCCTACTTCTTTCATGTGACAATAATTCGTCCAATGAGAGCTCAAAATGCAAAAATTTTTGGGAGTATAATCAGTAAAATACCAAATATAAAGGGTGCAAAATAGTAGAGCGAATGGGACTTTTAGTAAGAAAAAGATTTCTATCCTTCCAAAAATTCTTCCTGAACATTTAAGATACCTTAAATCGCTCTTGTAGGTCATGATATCGATCATAAATAACCATCGTATGATTTAAGCCATTTTTGGAGTCTTCGCCACTTTCTTATATTTTTGGCCCTTATTTGGCATCTTTGTTTCTAAGGGGGTAGAGATCCTCTTCGCATAAAATTTTCGGAGTAGGCCCCATATTGGTCTTGACCACTAAAAAAATTGTATTTATGCTACCCTGGAGTAAGGAACCATCGTACAGATAATTGCCACATAGAAATTTATTCATGTAAAGTCCCCACATTGGAGTATCCCCAAGTCCACTTTCACATCTAATGTGTGGTCAGAAAAGAAAAATTTGTATCTATTGAATTTGTAACCCCCAAGAGAATATTGGTTGGGAACGTAGATTTGGGATATACATTAATATGAAATAAATTGTGAAAACATGAACAAATTACAAATATAAGAAAGTAGCACGGGACCGAATATTTGTTGAATCGTCATTGAATTATACTGTGATGAAAAATATGGACCTTATGGGGTCTCTAATTTACAATTTAAATGACAAATAAAATTAGTTCCCATATTACGGTAATGGGTGTAAAATAGTTATTGTAATTGACTATTCTGAATTCAGTCTGACCTCAATTATGAGGTGTCATCTTGGATTATAAGGGGTGAAGAAAGTTTTCAATGTATGTCGATGTTTCGCATTTTACCATATTTCAAAGGATTTGGCTAAAACTGTGTATTTGGGGGTGAAAATCTTACACAAAAATTTCAACATATCTACAAATTTTAGAATTTTTTCAATGTAATAGTACCCCCTCAAGTACCCCTTTTGGCGGACAAACAGACCGACATGGTTAGGGGGACTTATGAGGACTCTAATGCACAATCTGAGGTGCTAATGAGTTTAAAAAAGTAATTAACTTTGGCTATTCTTAAATCAATTAGCCCTCAATTATGAGGTGTACAAAGTACAGTAAATTCCAAATTACTGCTCATTTGACTAAAACTTAGAAACTAATCGACCAGTACGTGAACATTTATAACATTCATATCTTTGAATAATTATGCTTTGACAAATATGCATAATAGACAAACACTACGGGCCGGCAACGCGGACCGGGCCAGCTAGTTTGTAATAAATAGGAAAAAAGCTGAAATTACTGACAAGGCATTTTTAAGGGAAGAAAAAAAAACCTTGGGAGTTGAGCTGAAAGTGAGTTTGCCAAGGAACATGTGTGATTGTATTAGAGCTGCAACTTCATGTATAAATGCAGATTTAACTCCATTGTGTTAGGGCATTAAGCAAAACTAAACCCCTCAAGATTTGACAAAATCAGAACAAGCTTGACATTTCTATAATATTAATAATAAAAGCGTCACTTTTAAATTGATTTCATTTATTTTTTCTAAAATAATTTACAATTGAAATTGTAAACTTTGTAAAACAACATTGTTTTGTTGAAAATAGGTTTATTGCCCCCACTGAAAAAAAAGTAATTCACCTGGAAAACTTGAATGTCATATTTGTTATCTTTGTTATTTTGTAGCTATTTGTAACTTGTTTTTGTTTTTCTCCTCCTAATGTTACTGACCGTTATTAAAAAAAATTTCCTTCAGTTTCGTGTTTGTCACGAGTCTCCGATGAGCTTATTCACCCATGTTCGCTCATGTGAGGTTAAAAAGGTGACGCATTATACGTGTTAGCATAATTGCAGTTAAATCATTATTATTTCATCATATTTACATATTATCCATACGCATAATTATTAGTCATTGACTAGTTGTTTAGCATTAGTGATTTTTCAGACTACTACGTATTTTATTAATGAAAAATGGGTAATTTCCATAAGATTACAATGAACTTGCTTGTTCATTTGCCTTTAACCTTAAGTTGTTTGTTTAAAGTGAAAATAGCTTTCATCCAGATAACAGCTCCCAACAAAAGTGTTTTATAATTTGTTTGGAATATTGATATTTATATTTTAGATTTTGCAATAGAAGCCCCAATATAACACCGGAAGAGTTTTTTTTATCCAAAAAAATATATTTCTCCTACATTGCCAAGCCTTCTCACTTTAGACAGGATTTTGTATTACAACTAAGTCGCTTCTTATAGGTTTTTTTTTTAAATAGTCTGTAGTTAAAGATAACTTTAGTCAAAATCAGCGTCGAAGTGATTTCTAAAAATGTTTAATTATTACGTCCTCCATGTAATATAATTATCGTCAAGCCAAAAACCTATATTCGAACTCTGCTGTCGAACATTTAATAGCTGAATCTCTTCCTTTAAAATGTTTAATACAGGGTGAGATAAAAAAATGCAATAATAATTCATAATTTTTAAATTTTATTGAATGAAAGGTCGGAAATAGCATCAAATTTTAAAGTAAGTTTAGATTTGTTCGAATTTGTCACCTTTGGCACGAATTATGGCCTTCAAACGGCCAATGAAACCGTCACACGATGCCCGAATGTTGCCCTGCGGTATTGTGGCCCATTTCCGGCGAAGCGCTTGCTTGAGGTGATCTACACTTTGGTATTTTTTAGTGCCAACCTTGCTTTCCAAAATACTCCAGACACAATAGTCCAACGGAAATTTTGGTGGCCCTTGTGCGCTGGAGATGAAGCGGGGAACCTCTTTGTAACCATTCTCGAGTAGCGCGTGCTGAGTCCTATTGGAATGTCCAAGGTCTGCGGCCAAAATGTTTGCGTGCCCAAGGCTTTAATACACCCTCCAGAATATTTTCGCGATAATATTCGGCATTTATTATGGTGGCCCACACCATCGCCATGGACGGCGCTTGAGTTCTGGTGGCCAACCGAAGGTGTACATTTTCAGCAGACCTCTTTGGCAAGTAAACACGATCATTTTGTTTGTTTACAAACTGCTGGACAACAAATGTTTTCTCATCGGAGAAAACCAAATTCGGCAGTTCATCACTTTCGGCCAAGCGAAGCAACCCTTTAGCTCTTTTGAGTCTTTTTTCTTTCTGTTGCGGTGTAAGTTCTTGCACTTTTTGGAATTTCGATGGCTTTACCCCTCATTTTTCAATATTTGCCGAATGGAATATTGCTATTTCGGCCATTGTGACGTCGTCCACTTCCTTGACGTCGGGCTACGCTGCCAGTATTACAGGAACGAGCGATAGTACGAGGCACAAAAGATATATTTACATTTAAATGCTGGAGTGCTCTAACGATAGCCATTTGTGGTTTTCAAGCCAAATATAAAGAAATCACACTATCACGCTTGAATTCCATCACGAAGAACTTTTTTTCTGGAATCAATTTAACAGCTGTCGGACGAGTGGCTTCGAAATGACAGCAGTCTGAAGTTGGTTGCAGTTTTTTCATCTTACTCTGTATTCTACACACTAAGAATATATACCAAATTGTTAGATTTTCAACTGAGGAGGTTTTACATCTTAGAGAAGCAAAAAATGTGGATTACAGATGATCTTTCCTTTTTGTTAAAGAAAAATTAATAAAACTAACTCCGCCGGGAAAAGACCGGTTAATAAGTTAAAAAATTAACCGATTATTTTGTACAAGAACTTATAATTCCAGTTTATGCTAAATCAGGTCAGTTTGGATTTTTGTCTTAAAGCTAGAATTATTTAGATTATGGTAACTTATGACTTCAATATACTGCTGAGACTACCACACATAAAAAAGTAATCTCGCTTGTAGTCAGAATACGGTTCCTTCTCAAGTGTTCATAAAAAAGTTATATTCTATTCTAAGCTATACCTTTATGAAAAGACTTGACATGCCTCCACGTGCTAATACATAGAAACCCTATATAGGAATTTCTAAACCACACATGTTCTCGTATCTAAAATTTCTATATATGTCTAATTTTAGATAGATAAAAGTAATAATATTTAATTATATATTTCCCCTTAATTATCTGTTAATAAACTTCAAAATTAACCTATGATATTACAAACTAATTTTGAACTTTTTTCTTTCTTGATTTAGCTGGACGTCAGCGACGCATGGGACACTTTGGCAGAAACTATACAATTGGCTTTTATCAATAGACATCGATGGGGAGCAGCGGTTGCGGTGCATTAACACTCAAAAATCACATAAAATTGTATACAACAATTTGTATTTGTTTTTACATATTTCATTATGTATTTTATAAAATAATATTCATCCAAAAAGAAATCAAAATTGTGCATACATATTTGTTTGTATGTATTATTAGATATTTAAATTTGTTTCTTCTTTTTTCACACATTTACAATTGTTGCAATTTTTGTCATTTGAAAAAAATATATTTTTCTAAGTTTTAGAAATTTTTTCATCATTTAAAAAAGTTTTTTTTTTAAAGAAATTATTGTAATTTGAAACTTACAAAATTAATGTACTATATTCAAAACATTTTATATGACTGTAGAAAATAGTACATTGTATTGTTGAATATTTTTTGAAATTGAATTGTATATTTTGTAGTGCTGCTACCCCTACCCTCCTTCCTCCCCACCCTCATCTTCTCATTAATAAATTGTTGTGTGAATAACATTATACCCTGCTGTTTTGAAAAAAAAATATTCATTTATTTTGAACTAATCATAAAATTACAATTGTATGTGCATATTTTAGCTCTGGAAACAATTGGTCCTTTTTATATGATTTCTTCGAGAAACATATATTGAAAAGGGATTTGCCATGAGCTGGGAAATGCAATTCGTTCAAAATTAATGCAATATTAAAAAAACAAAGCAAATGGATAATTCCCTTGTGTTGTTTACCAATTGATGTGTTGTATGATGTGATTTTTTGTTATTTTGAAACATTGTTGTAATTTTTTTTTTATAAAGTTGGATATACATTTTCACACATAGGACAACAAATGGGAATCGTCAAAAAATAACAACTAAAAAATTAAGAAAAAAAGACATTTGCTACCACAAAATTCTCTATCTTATCTATAAATGTTCAACGTATTGCAATTTCCTTAATTTTGTCGTTGTAAGCTTTTTTCCAACCTATATGGGAATTATATTCATCGTCTACATGGCATGCTTTATTATTTAAACATTTTAAAGAAAACAGGCTAGATATTTCACAAAACAAAATAAAGTGCTCTCACACCACACGTACACATTAACAATAAAAAACAACAAAAACCAACAGCATATAACTTTTATAAATCGAAAAAAAAAATAATCACGTAGTTTTATAAAATAATTAAAACAATCTTTCACCAACAATATTTAAATACACAATCATATTTATATAATATAATTTTTACATCAATGCAATAAGCAAACATTTTAGTTTTTTTCGTCATTTCTTTCTTTCAAACTTATTTTAGTTGTTTTGTTTTGGATTGCCATAACTAAATCATTGCAATTCTTTTAAAATACCAGTAATATTTTTTTTTTATTTTTCATATTTTTTGTGTATTTTATAAAAATACAATTTTATATAATTATTTTATTGCATTATTTGTTTAAGTTTAGGTTTTTATAATTTTTCTTCAAACATCTTTAAACAAAAAAAAAAAAAACTTCTTTTAAAATCGTAATGTAATAATTTAAACTTTAATTAAACAAAAAAACAATTGTATAATTTAAAGTAAACCACACAGCAACAATTCAATATATAAATAATTACACTTTATATATTTAAAGAAACAAACATTAAATAATGAAATGATAAACTGCTTATAAATTATGTAAAATGTAAACCAATCATAAAAAAAACTTTGTGAAAATCATACAAAAAAATTAATAAAATTTTAGAAAAAAAAAAAATAAACCAATTGACTTTTATTTGTTTAAAGAATGGAAAGGGTATTAGAGGAATACGAAATCTTTTACCCACAAAAGCACATTCTAAAGGCAAAATATTTGAGAACAGCAACAAGAACATTAAAGAAGGTCATATCATCGGATTTTAAAATAACCTGTAATACAATGTATGCAATTCCAATCTGGGTTTTAACTCCAATTTCAACAACTACACTGTGCAACAGCCAATCTGGGTGGGGATATTCAAAGAGGAGGTGATAGTATTCGTTAGCGTTATACCAAAACGATAATTTTTGAGGAAATTAGTATGAACAAGTCAAAAAGTATCAGTCGGTTCTGCCGACAGACGTATACCCTCAGCCAATGTTCGATTATTTAAATATATTTTGACTTCTGTTATGATTATTCAAACACTTGACCCTCTGTGGAGTGGGTTCTGAAGAAATGGGCCAATATTGTCCATTTCATATCGGACCTAAATAAATACGATATAAATATTGCGACGTCCCAGGTTGGTTACTTCATCATAAAATCAATGTTCATCCCAAGTTTCTGGTTGAGACAAATATTTAGATATAGCATATTGTAAAGAATCGCTGACATGTTTCGCAAGTTATGACAGATAAAAGTATTGACAATTGTGACCCTTTTTGGGTGAGATACATGAAGGGTTTCGCAGATATGTATATATCATCTTCCCAACAGATCTTGTGTAAGTATGTTTGAAATTTAAAGAGACTTGAATGCTTATTTGGCTTACTTTGAGCGTTTTGTTTCTCAAAATCTTGAACCCTATGTGGGGGATGTACCAGAAGAAATGGTCCGATCTCTACCATTGAGATGAGCCAAGTCTGAATGGAATCGGATGTTAATTTCGCTTTTTATGAGCTCCATTGATATTCAAAAGTTCGACCTTCTGTGGAGGATGTACCAGAAGGAGTGGACCAATATATTCCATCTTAATAAAAAATGTTGGGATGTGTGAAATTTGAAGACAATTGGACTCTTACATCACATTTTATAAAATTTGTAATTATTCAAAATTTTACCCCTTTGTGGGGGAGTGGACTGGCGCAAATATTAGGATTAGCAAAGTTGAAGCAAAATCGGATTATAGTTTCTCTTTCTGTGCAGAAAATATATTTTTTGAAAATTTCTACATTTTGTGGGGGAGGTACCAGAAGGAGTGGACCGATATTGCCCATTTCCGAACTCGATATTAGTTTGACCAAATATTACGAAGTACCATGTTTGGACCAAATCGGATACTCCTCGTGCGCACCAGCCAAACAGACTCTAGATCAACTCCAAATGTCCTAAACGGAATCGGTCCGAAGAGACCTAGGGTCTAAAACCATTATTTCGGCTAGGCACGTTTTGATCGTATAAAATGATATATACCCTCTCTAGGCATATGGCTGAGGTTATAAAAACATGGCAAATAAGGAAAAAATAATTGAAATTTTGATATATATGGGGGCCATACCAAAATGCGGACTGGCATGACCTATATATCGCACAAATGTATCAAATTTTAAAGCTTTATCTTAAATTTTGCGAAGTATAGAAAATTTTAATCTACTCACTGAATACTAAAACCTCCACTTAAGACTTCCCACCCCATACTATGACCCCAAACATCTTCAATGTTAACATCTTCAAAGACCACACTTTAAAGTGGGAGATAACATCAAAATACTGAAAATTGTAAAAATTTTATTAACAAAATTAATACTAAATATATATAACGTATTTTGTGGAATAATTTTCCCTTAAATGAGTGATAAAATTGCTTTTGATGCGTTTTTAAACATTATTCACTTTGGTAGCTTTGTGAGAAAACTAGCCCATAATATGTCTTTTGTATGAAATGTGCAGTCTGAGAGTCTATCCTATATTGTAAAAAACAACATTTTATAAAAATTTAATTGATTTTGTCCGAACTTCGCAAGTTTGCATACCAACGCAATTTTCTCTTTAAAACCAATGATATTCCTAATTCTCCCTTGCACGTATTGAAAATAGAATATTTGCACTACATCATGGTGAAAAAATCATAGAAATATATTAGGTATTTGCTGAGATATTTCAATTTGAATTTAAACATGTGCAGGAATATACCTACTACTCTGTTCTGGGCGCTTGTTACATGAAAAGTAGAAAACCCACAATCACGAATAACAAAAATGCCAATGCACTACAACAGACTTGCCATATTATTTTCTAAACGTCTCTGTCATAGCATCCAACTGCGAAGCATATTCTAAGGCGCTTATGAAAATTAGCATCAATGCCCTTAAGTGTGAATTTGTTTAAATTTGTTCTGAATAATCTCTGCAAATAATTAACTAATTTTGTGATTTCTTCAGTATTGTTTAGAAAAAAATTTGAACTATGTTATACACAAAAAAAATGTATTAAAATATACCGCAGTCAAACAATATTACTGTTTTTTTCGGTTTGTATTATTAAACCATTTGATTTATTAATATGCCTTAAAGTATGCTTTAGGCATCAAGAAAACACACAATACAAATTAGTTATTTTCTCGACAAATACTACTCGAAGCACACATGTAATCCTGATCTATTATGTTCAAGTCGAGAAGTTTAGCAGATGTTTGAATCCTCATCCTCATGTTTCAATCCTCATCCCTTTTAGGATAAAAAATACAATTTCTCTGCACGACTTCTCTGTGGCAGCTTCAGCTTTAAAATTGAGAATTGATTCCCCCTGCAACAACAACTGAAATTAAAAATTGGAAACAATATTGCATTAATACTTTATATTTGCAAATAAAATGATGAAAAACCATTCTACAATAAATTTTTTAAAATTTCAAAAAATGTCACCTTACAGTTAGCTAAAATTCGACGTACTAGGACGATGTTTTTTTACCACACAAGTACAATACATGTATTTTTTTGAGAGTAGAATGAGAGAATGATTTAATTTTGCTTAAATGTATAATTATGATGACAAGTATTAATATTGACTTTATTGAGTCCTGGTAAAAGTCCCGATTATTGGACGAATAGGAAATGTCATCTTAATTTTCCGTTTTAGTACAGAATCTATCGGGTGAGATAAAAAACTGCAACAAAACAAAAAAAAAAAAAAAACATGTCGGAAATAGCATCAAATTTTAGAATAAATTTAGATTTGTTCGAATTTGTCAACTTTGGCACGAATTATAGAAACGTCCAAGGTCTGCAGCCAAAATGTTTGCGTGCCCAAGACTTTAATACACCCTCCAGAATATTTTCGACATAATATTCGGCATTTATTCTGATGCCACGGTCGATTTATACGAGCGGAGAGCAAACATCGGCTGTTATGGCGGCCCACACCTCTCCATGGCCGGCGCTTGAGTTCTGGTGGCCAACCGAAGGTGCACATTTTCAGCTGACCTCTTTGGCAAGTAAACACGATAATTTTGTTTGTTTACAAACTGCTGGACAACGAATGTTTCCTCATCGGATAAAACCAAATACGGTAGTTCACCACTTTCGGTCAAGCGAAGCAACTCTTTAGCGCTTTGAGTCTATTTTCTTTCTTCTGCGGTGTAAATTCTTGCACTTTTTGGAATTTCAATGGTTAACCCTGAGCTCATTTTTCAATATCTGCCGAATGAAATATTGCAATATGTTCAGATCACAAGCCATTTTTTGCCACTGCGATGCGTGGCTGTTTTCCACCAGTATCACGGTAGCAATGGTACGAGACACAATGATTTATTCATATTTAAATGCAGGACTCTCTAAAGATAGCCACTTGTGGTTTTCCAGCCAAATATAAAGAAATCACACCATCAGGCTTGTAAACAATATAATGAGCTGTTACTGGAATAATTTTAAGAGCTGTCGGACGAGTGGCTTGGAAATGACAGCAGTCTAAAGTTAGTTGCAGTTTTTTCATCTCACCCTGTATTTCTAACAATATTGAATATTCAAAAATTAATTCGTTAATCATGTGAATTTTAATTCGTTAACACATGTTATTAATAATTTAAAAAAATATTTTTGAGTTTCATCGAAATTATACGATATTTTTTGGC